AAAGCAAAGAATACCAGAAAGATGTTTACTTGTGTTTTATTGACTATGCAAAAGCATTTGATTGTGTGTATCATAACAAATTATGGATAACATTGAGAAGAATGGGAACTCCCGAACACTTGATTGTACTCATGAGGAACCTGTACATAGACCAGGAGGCTGTCATTTGAACAGAAGAATGGGACACTGCATGGTTTAAAATCAAGAAGGAAGTGTGTCAGGCAGGGTTGCATCCTTTCACCATACTTATTCAATTTATACACTGAGCAAATAATATGAGAAGCTGGACTATATGAAGAAGAACATGGCATCAGGATTGGAGGAAGGCTTATTAATAACCTGCGATACGCTGACATGACACAACTTTACTTGCTGAAAGTGAGGATGACTTGAAGCACTTACTGTTGAAGATTGAAGAATACAGTCTGCAGTATGGATTACATCTCAATATAAAGAAAACAGAAATTCTCACAACTGGACTTATAAGCAGCATCACAAAAAATGGAGAAAAGATTGAAGTTGTCAAAGAGTTCACGTTGCTTGGTTCTACAATTGACACCAATGGAAGCAGCAGTAAGGATATCAGACAACTTATAGCACTGGCAAGTTGGCTGCAAGGGATCTCTTTCAAGTGCTGAGGAGCAGAGATGTCTCCTTGAAGACTAAGGTGTGTCTGACACAAGCCATGATATTTTTAATTGCCTCATATGGATGTGAGAGCTGGACAATGAATAAAGAAGACCAAAGAAAAATTGATGCTTTTGAGATGTGGTGCTGGCAAAGAATGCTGAAAGTACTATGGACTGCTAAAAGAACTAACAAATCTGTCTTAGAGGAAGTACAGCCAGAATGCTCCTTGGAAGCGAGAATGACCAGATTTGTCTCACCTAGTTTGGTCATGTTGCCAGAAGGTTACCATTCCCTGGAGAAGGATGTCATGCTTGGTAAGGTGGAGGGTCGACGAAGGCCCTCAATGAGATGGATTGACACAGTGGCTGTGGCTATGGGGTCAAGTATAGCAGGGATTGTAGAGCTGGCATGGGACCAAGCAGTGTTTTGTTCTGCTGTGCATAGGGTCACTATGAGTCAGAGGTGACTCGAGAGCACATAACAACAACAACAATATGGTTAAGGAGATGTGTAGAACTGCCAAGTTGACAAGGGGTGGACTGTTATAGTTGGAGTTATGTGTCAACTTGGCTGGACCACAGTTCTGAGTGGTTTAAGCAGTTGTGATGTGGGTTATTCCCATGATGAGACTGGATGTGTACGTTTTGAGCAGCCAATCTATTGAAAGGGAGTTTCCTTAGGGGTGTGACCTGCTTCCAATATATTTATGGACATCCTGGGTAAATGAGACACTCTTCTGTGAATCTGGATCCTGTTGTGCTGCCTACAATTGTCTGTGAGTGAACAATCCACCATTCAGCTTCGTGATCTAGGATTCGTCATTTGTTGGAGTCAAGAGCTGGTATACTGCCTGCCAGCCTTCAGCTCATCAGCCCCTGCAGCTGCGTGACTCAAGAAAAGCCTCCAGCTTGATGACTGATCCAAGACTTGCCGGCTTCTTTAAGTGTGTGAACCATTTTCCTAAGGTAAATTTCTCTCTCTCCATATATAAACTTTACTGGTTTTGCTTCTGTAGAGAACTCAGCCTAACACAGTAGTATTTCATTGTTTATATTGATCACAGTTTGTTTATCCGTTCATCTGCTGATAGGCACTGAGATCATTTCCGTCTTTTTGCTATTATAAATAATGATGCAGTGAACATTGGTGTCCATGTATTTATTCATGTCACGGCCCTTATTTCTCTAGGATATTACACCTAGTACTGGGATTGCTGGATCATATGGTATTTATATTTCCAACTTTTTAAGGAAACCCACACCATTTTCATAGTGGTTGCACTGTTTTACAGTCCCACCAGCATGTTCCAATCTCTTCACATCCATGCCCTCATTTTTTTTTTTTTTTAACTTTGCTATTAATGCTGGGGTGAGATAATATCTTGTTGTTTTGATTTTCAGCTCTTTAATGGTAAATGAGGAGCTCTGGTAGTGCAGTGGTTAAACCATCCAGCTGCTAACCAAAAGGATGGCAGTTCAAAACCACCAGCCACTCTGGAGGAGGAAGATGAAGCAGTCTACTTTCATAAAGATTTACAGCCTTGGAAACCCTAGGGGGCAGTTCTATTCTGTCCAACAGGTTGCTATGAGTCAAAATTCACTCGATGGCAGTGGGTTTTGATTTGGATCATGTTAAGGATTGCGAGCATTTCTTTACATGTCTGCTGGATGCCTGAATGTATTCTTTGGTGAAGTATCTATTCATGTTCCCTGCCCATTTTTTAATTGGATTTTTGTTGTTGTTGATGTGTTGAAGTTTTCTATAAATTTTAGAGATTAGACTATGCCTGATATGTCATTGCCAAAATTTTTTTCCCAGTCTGTACATTATCTTTTTTCAAATTCTTGTGGTGAAATGGTAAGAACTCATATACTGGTTGTAGAGTGTCAATTGGTACAATTACTTTACACATTATTAACCTGTAAAGTTGACAACTGAATTCCCTGTGTCTTATAAATTCCACTCCAAGGCATATGACTTAAAGAAACTCTTGAACATGTTTACCAGAAAACATATGCAGAAATGTTCATGGCATCATTGTTCATAATAGCCAAAAGTTGGGAATTAATTCAAATGTCTACCAATCAGAGAATGGATAAATAAATTTATATGTATTCACCCAACAGAGTATTTTACAGTAGTGAAAATCAGTGAATGTGAATTATAATTTATGTAGCAATAGGGATGTATGTTCAAAACCAAAAACCAAACTCACTGCCATTGAATATTGTGTTGCTCTGGTGGCATAGTGCCTAAGGCATCTGACTGCTAACCAGAAGGCTGGCAGTTCAAACCCACCAGCTACTCCTCCAAAGGAAGACTGGGCAATCTACTTCTGTAGAGATACTGCCTCAGAAACCCAAGGTGGGGTTTGCTATGAGTCGGAATTGATATGCAAGAAAATCTGTATTTTAAGAAAAACAAAGGAATGATACGCACAAAATTCATGGCAGTGATTTTCTCTATGGAGAGACAGGGGTTTGGAGTCTACATAGGTAGACACAGTGATAATGATAATGTTCTGGTTTTTAACTAAGGAGGTGGGTTCGCAAATTAGCAGTTTACTGTTAGGGATCATAAGTGTCATATGTCCTTTCATGTATACTCCTAGAATTACATGATAAAAATGAAACAGAAAACTAATTGTAACCAGCCCAAATTTTCAAACCAGGGGAGCATATTTGAACTGCTTTACATAATGCAGCAGTATTTATAAGAGTTTTCTTTTCACTGCTAACGTGGTTTAAAAATGGGCGAATATTTGAAATGTGATTATGGCTACTTTCTTTCACCTATATCCCTCTATACCGTGATCTCTCAACTAATGATACATACTATATACAGTAGATATATCATTATACAACTATTCTTCATTCTTGCAAAATAGCACTTTTATACTTCAAAAATTCTGTTACGAAAACATAAAGAAACATGAAAGGAAAATACTACGTTCTATTAGGAGTATGTGAAATCTATTCTCGAATCATGCGACTCTTAAACACAGCTTTGGTTCTAAGTTTAATCATTGTTCTAGTTTGTGAAGTCTGTCTTCACAGAATTAAAAATGGCTTACCATTATGTGAAAAAGTTACAATTAATAATAATAATATATTCCCTCAGAGCTCTTTAAACCCAATGTGGAAGATAACATTGATATAGTAGGTTGTAGGATATATTCTTGCTTTTTGTTATAACATACGTTATATAACAAAAGCTTTTATATAACACACTTTTGTATAACAAAGGTAATATAAAACAATGTAATATAATATTAAATATAATGTAATAAAAATAGTTTGATTTTTATTTCTATTTTCTTACTTTTAGCTAAATCTCAAATTAACAAGTAATATGCCACAACTTGTCTAATTATCAAAAATAGCTAAGTAGTCATATTAATGTTTCACTTACATTCATGAGTTCATTTAGCTATATTTTAATGTTAAATTACCTTTTTGAGAGGGAGAGTCTGGATCCATTCCATGGAATTTACATCAAATATATCAACCGCATTTTCACTATACACTGAGAGATATGGTGCATTGTAACCTGGGAGAAGGGAAGGATGGGACAGTCTTGTGATTACTGTTACTAAAACACAAAACATTAAAAAAATCTGTGTTAAATAACTGTAGAGTGGAATCCGACCAAAATCTTATTGATATCATATAGCAGCTACATGAAGACATTTTTGAAGTAAACAACATAAATCATAAATGAAGAATTGACATACCATACATAAGATTAGATAGTAAAATAATAAAGTTTCTGTTAATATCAAGGGTTTAATACTCTCTTGCTGAAAACTAGTTTTATAAAGGAATTTCATTACATTTACAAAGCAGAGAAATCTAGAAAAGTTATAGTCTCAGTTGTGAAGGTAGGGTAATGTACTTAGCAGTTATACATATATATATATTACAGTTATATAGTTGTTGAAAGAAAGACTAAATATCAATAAATGGTGATGTAAGCAAAGAGAGATTATATTATTTTTTTAAACTAAAGTTATAAATTAAATTATTAGCAGAGCTAGTCATAAAAGCCAGATATTTCATTTAAACTCTTACTCCACATTAGAAATCTATAATAGTTAAGTTTGGGTGGGTAGGAGTAAGCGGTATTTTTGTTATTTTTTATCTAGATTTTCTAATGCTTCTGTAATAAGCATGCATTGCTCTCCTAAACTTTCTTCCATTAAACCTTTAACTGGATTGTACTCATACCGATACCTCCACCTTCTATCTTGTTACAGTTCCTTCTGCCCCAAATAATCTTTCTGCCCATGTTTTGAGTTTTGTCCTCTCTGGCCTTCTTGGGGATCTTACTCTTATTTCCTGTATCTCCGACACAGTCAACCTTTTCTTTGGAGTTCTCTAGTGATTCATTCCCTTTAGCATTTAAACATGTTCAAGTTTCTTCCATTAAAAACATTTTTGATTAGGTACTTTTCCTATGTGTTTCTATAGAACTCTGTACTGCTGCTATCATAGCACTGATAAAGAACTGCACCTACTTGTTTTATCATGAATCTTCTTGACTGCACTGCACGCTCTCTAAAGGCAAGACTATGTCTATTTTGTTCACTGCTATGTCTCCTACAGTGACTGGCACATAAGAAGTGTTCACTAATTTATTAGTGTCTGATATTTCTTGAAAGAGTAAAGTAAGGAATTGTAAATTTCTACTTAACAAATAAAAATGTAAAACTGAGTAACACTTCTTAGGGATGTTACATTAAAACCTTTATGTTGTTGTTGTTGTTGTTTGCCATCGAGTTGGCCCCGACTCATAGTGACCCCTCCTTGGGTTTCCGAGGCAGTATCACTACGGAAGTAGGAATGCCCAACCTTCCTTCTGAGGAGTGGCTGGTGGGTTTGAACCGCCAGCCTTCTGGTTAGCAGTCATTCACTTAGTATTAGTAACCACTTTCTCTAGAACCACTCCTATGAGTTATTAATGAGTGCAAGCATTATATTTTGGGGTACCAAGAAGACAATGGGGTTATTTCAAAATACAACATGGGCTAAGAATCCATCTAAGTAAAGTCTTCCTTCTAAGGAAGAGTAGCTTTAGTCCTGGACATGTTAATGTTGGCCCTGTTGGCCTAGGCCTCACAACATTATGGTTATTTTACATACTTGACATGAGAAATACTTAGGAAAGACTTTAAGGATGACTTAGAAAAACAGTAACCTGCTATTAACAAAGACTAATTTAGGAGAGTAACTGGAATGAAAAAGCAAGAGACAGAAAGATAACCCAACCAAAAGTAACAGAATCTTACAACAAGAGGAAGGATTTGCTGGCCACATCAATTCCTGTTGTCTAGTTCTTCGGCCCTGGCAGTCAGTGTATATCCCAATGCTGCTAAAACACAGCAGATATTCTTTACTGGAGATCTCAACTGCACAGATAGCATCCATTGGTTGGTGTGCAATAAATGATAACGTATGGTCATTTGAATGGAGCATACTGCATGGATTTCCTTCTCCACTCAAGGGGTATCTTAGAAATCCTGACTGGAATCCCACACAAAGTTGTTCACTGAAGATTGCCATCCACTGGACATTATATGGGACTTGAATTTCCTTAAATTTTCTGTGACGGGTCTTGCTCTGAAATAGTTCATAACACAGGACCTGTCTTTTCATAGCCACACACAGGCATGTAAGAGCTCCATGGTGCACCTTTCCAGAAGTTATGGTTTGACATCCTTTAGTTTCTGCTAGCTTGTAAAAATCGGTCTCTCGCCCATCCAAAGCTGACATAGGAAAAAGTCGTACATGACGATTTCGTCCTGAGATCACAGCAACAAGCTGATCATTCGGAATGAGTTCAATCTGATGAATCTTCTTATTGTCACCAACTCTAATAATTTCTACACAGAAAAATAACAATAAATCAATTTATCAAATGTAAAATGTTTTATTTATTTAGTTAATTATATCCCAATTATACACAAAAGAATATGTCAGCATATAATAAAGACACAGATATACACACAGAAGAAGAGAACAGAAATCATATAGAGAAAAGGAAGAAAATTAAACCCGCTGTAAGATATAAAAAGGAGCTCTGGTAGCGTAATGCCTAAGGCACTTTACTGCTAACCAGAAGGCTGGGGGTTCAAACCCACCAGCCACTCCTTGGAAGGAAGGTTGGGGAATCTACTTCCGTAGTGATACCGCCTTGGAAACCCAAGGAGGGGTTGCTGTGAGTCGGGTCTGACTCGATGGCACATAACAACAACAAGTACATAAGATATAAAGGGAGAGCTCTGGTGGTGTAGTGCCTAAGGGATTTGACTGCTAACCAGAAGGTTGGAGGTTCAAACCTACCAGCCACTCCTTGGAAGGAAGAGTGGGCAATCTACTTCTGTAGTGGTACCACTTCAGAAACCCAAGGAGGGGGTGCTATGAGTCAGATCTAACTTGACAGCAGTAAGTTTTTTTTTTTTTTCCCTAAAAGATATAAAAGGAGTACTTAGCTGCTAATAAAATGTTGGCAGTTCAAAAGCACCAGCCACTCCATGGGAGAAAGTTGTGGCAGCCTGCTTCCATAAAGATTACAGCCTTGGAAACCCTATGGGGCAGTTCTACTCTGATAGGCTCGCTATGCATTGGAATTGACTTGATGGCAGTGGGTTTTTGGATAAGATATAAAACAATTACTATACTAAGGAATTAAATTTAGCACTGAGGCTTCTGCCAGCCAGAGCAAAAAGTTCTTATCTGATAAAGCATCCAAATAAGAAAAATCTTTTTGCTGGCACTAAATTCCAGGGAACTTCACCATGGGATTTCCATTTTAAAACACTGAGTAACTCATATTTCACTGAAATTATTTCTGTGGGTAACAAACTAATGTGGTTTAAATGCATTGCTTTCCCATGATCTAACTTGATATAAAGATAGAATTTAAAATACCACATTCAGGAGTGTGAAATAAAATTGGTTCCTCATTATTTCTCTCAGTAATTTAATTACTCTCTAGAAAAAAACTGTTGTGTGAACTGTGGGAAAAAGTAACAAACACATTTTAATGGTTGTTACCTCTTACAGTACTAATAGAACAAAAGCAAAAGCAAGTTGTTTTTTCTTTCACGTTTCATCTTAGGAATACAATCAGTCTATACAGCAGAAGTATTTCATAAAATGATCCAAAAGAGACAAAACATACTTGAAATTTTAAAACTCTGGGGGATCATGGAAATTTAAAAAAATGTCTTTTCCCTTTAAAAGACATCAAATTGGGGGATTCAAAACAGAGTCTCGTCAGTAATCACCACGCTATTTCCCTCTAGCATCTTAGTGCTTGAAAAACTAGGTACAGCAGTTTGAATTAGGGATTCTGTTGCTCTGAACAGCTCACTGAATCAGAGGAGTAGAATCAGAAAGGAGAAAGGGACAGGGAAAAAATAACAAGATCAGAAGATCTATCCTGCGGAATACTGACAGGCAGCTGAGAAAGGCCATCAGAGACTTTTCTGGGGGAATGCTGACCAGCAGGTGAGAATGGACATCCGAGACCTCCCTGGGTTAAGGAAGACAATACACCACACCAGCAACCACACCAACATACCAGCGATCACCCCAAGGATCTACCTTAAGCACTTGATTTTATTGGTAACTTGAGTTGGCTAGGTGCAATGGGCACGTCCAGTGCCACTGAAACCCAAGCAGAGAGTCCACTGGTACTGCAGGAGGGCATGTCAGGGGAGGTGCCCCTGCAGTGGGTCACCAAGTAGGCTTGGGTCACTGAGAGGTGGCACTTGACTTTATCAGTAATATTGGGACTACAGATTACTAGCACGCACTCTCCCGACTCCAGTGCCACTGAAACTGAGCGGTTTTCTGGTGCCGCGGATGGGTGGACCCACAGAGGAACTCCCGAGGCGGACTGTGGTATGGGCTGCGTGTGGGTGGGCCAAGAGAGAGAAACTCACACAGCGGATTGTGGAGCCAGGATGTTGTCTTGGGTCGGGATTTTGGTGCTGAGGGACCTTGGAAGAAGAGTTTTTGCATGTGTCTAAACCTGAAGGAAAGTGACAACCCCTAAACAATTGGAGTCTCTGCTGAATTTGAGCTGCAGGCCTGTGAATAATAGTACAACATCATCAGTAGCAGCCTGCTCAAAGCCCTAGAAACCTCCCCTAGCAACAGCAAGCTTTCCTTCTTCCGCTCCCACCTTCTCCGCTAATGGAAGAAACGACATGCAGCCACCATAAACCTCCTGGTTCAAACTCTAAACCCTCTTTATGACAAACAGAAACACATATCCACATTCCACACAGTGATTCCACCATTACAAAGAAAACTGCACAGCAACCCAGCATACCTGAATTAATAACTAAAAAATAAAAATGAGGTTCACCTTCTTTTCAAGATATTAAACCACAAAACCAAGACAAAACAAATCAATACATAACTAACAGTTAAAGAAAACCTCAAAATGTCTAGGAAACAAAAGGCAACCTCAAATCAAACAAATAACAACAACAACAACAAAAAAAACAGGACAAGGCATTAGAAGCAAAACCACAAAGGTCTCATTAAACATGGAGGAAGAGGAGCCAATAGAATTATCTGAGAAGGAATTTAGAAGATATGTTTACAGAACTTTATAAGAGCCTAACTTTACAATACCCCAAACAGAAATAAGGAGAACATAGACAGTTCCCTGGAAGAACTCAGGAAAATCATTCAAGAATAAAATAATAAGATTAATGCACAATCAGAATGCATACAAAAACAGCAGTTAGAAATCCAGAAATGAATACCAAAATTACAGAATTACACAAAACAGTAGAAGCACAAAAGAATAGGTTAGAACTGGCTGCAGAATGCGTATCTCAACTAGAAGACAAATCCCTGGACACTAGCCTGTATGATGAAAAACCAGAACAAAGATTTAAGAGAAATGAAGAGAACCTAAAAATTATATGGGATGACATGAGAAGAAACCACATAAGACCCACTGGAATTCCAGAACAAGAAGAGGTGAAAAAACCACGAAGAAAATTGTGCAAGATATGTGAACAGAAAACTTCCCACATATCATGAAAGAAGAAAAGATATTTGTCCAAGAAGCTCATAGAACCCCACAGAAGATAGATCCCAAGAGAAAAACACCAAGGCATATTATAATCACACTCTCCAAAACCAAAGACAAAGAAAAAACTTTGAGAGCTGCCTGGGACAAAAGAAATATTACCTATAATAATCAAATAGTTAGGCTGAGCTCCGATTACTCAGCAGAAACCACGTAGGCAAGAAGGCAATCGGACGGCATATATAAAACACTGAAGGAAAGGAACTTCCAACCAAGAATATTATATCCAGTCAAATTATCCATCAAATATGAGGGTGAAATCAAGGAATTCTCACACAAACAGAACTTAAGGGATTTTGTAAAAACCAGACCAACCCTACAAGAAATACTTAAGGAAGTTCTTTCAAAAGAGAACCCACAACAGAGATCAAGAAAGTCAGGGTATGTGGCATCAACACTAAAACCAAATCAGAAACAGAAATTCAAAATAAGACCATAAAACATTATACTCTAAAAACCAAGGAAGCCAATCAGCATATAACAACAGCAACTAACCTATCAGAGGGAATAAACCTTCTAGGTAAAAACTTCCAAATGGAGAGGAAAACAGGACAATGTCTTCACAGTATGCACTGTTCTAAAAATGTAGAGACAAGAATATAGTCCAAGGTAACCACAGAGAAAAGTAACAATCCCTCTAAGCAAATCCAGAAGGAAGGGAAACATATGGGGTTAATAAGCACAAAACTATCAATAAAGAAAAGAGAGAAAGCATTAGCCAACAAATTGAACTCAGCACAGAAAAGTATATAGACCAAGGAAACACCAACAATAAGACAAAAAGACACAACGGAATGACAGCAATCAATTAATACCTATCATTAATTACACTCAATGTGAATGGACTAAATGCACCTATCAAGAGAAAGAGAGTGGCAGACTGGATAAGAAAAGAAGACCCATCAACATGCTGCCTACAAGAGACCCACCTTAGACACAAAGATAAAAACAAATTAAGAGTTAAGGGATGGAAAAAAATATACCAAGCCAATGGAAACCAAAAAAGAGCAGTAGTGGCAATATTAATTTCTGACAAAATAGACATTAAGGTGAAAAACATCGTAAGAGACAGAGAGAGACATTATATGATGTTGAAAGGGTCAATTGATAAAGATGTTACAATAATAAATATTTATGAACCCAATGAAAGTGCTCCAAAATATGTGAAGCAAATATTAACTGAATCAAAAGGGAAAACAGACAACTCTACAATAATAGTAGAAGACTTTAACACACCACTTTCAAAGAGGCACAGGTCAACTAGAAAAAAACTCAACAAAGATACAGAAGAACTCAATAATACAATCAACCAACTTGACCTCAAGACATATACAGAGCATTTCACCCAACAAAAACACAATTCACATTCTTCTCTAGTGCACATGGATCCTTCTCCAGAATAGACCATGTGTTAGGACATAAAACAAGGCTCAATAATTCAAAAGCAGTGAAATACTGCAAAGCATCTTTTTGGACCACAATGCTATAAAATTAGAAATTAATACCAGTAAGAGCAAAGAAAAACCATCAAACATATGGAAGTTGAACAACTCACTGCTCAAAAACTACTGGGTAATAGAACATATAGAAACTGAAATAAAAAAATTCCTAGAAACAAATGAGAATGAAGATACATCATACCAAAACCTATGGGACACAGAGAAAGCAGTACTCAGAGGACAGTTTATAGCAATAAATGCATCCAAAAAAGAGGAAAGAAATGAAATCAACACTCGAACTCATCAATTCCAGCCACTAGAAATAGAACAACAAAAGAATCCTACAGTATCTAGAAGCAAGGAAATAATAAAGATCAGAGCAGAAATAAATGAAACAAAAAACAAAAAAAACATAGAGAAAATCAATGAAACAAAAAGCTGGTTCTATGAAAAGATTAATAAAATCAATAAACCATTGGCACATCTAACAAAAGAAAAGAAAGAGAAGATCCAAATCACAAGAACTGTAAACGAAAATGGTGTCATCACAACAGAAACAACTGAAATAAAAAAGATACTGACAGAATATTATGAAAATCTGTACTCCAACAGATTTGAGAACCTAGAAGAGATGGACAAGTTTCTAGAATCACAAGAC